GCTATTCGATAGGCCCAGAGCTATCAATCGCAAACACCTTTTAATATTCAATAGGCCGTTCAACTCACTTTATGCTACAAAAGCATATTTTAGTTGCGTTTTTGGGTAATATAGCTTTGTCTTAGCAGGAAAACAAAGGTGGACCAAATCTTAGATAAGAGAATCGAGCTACATCAAATTACCCCATTTTTACAACTTTACATCTAACAACGCAACTAAAACATGCAACATCACCACAGTCAATTAACTAGCCTATTAAAAATAAGAAATTTTTCTAGAAAAAAAGCTAAATACCTCAATTCCTTAACATCTCTTGATTCCCTTGCATCCAAGCTGGTATCCGTAAATTTCTGTCCGTGAATCGAAGCAGCAGGGTCCAATTCATAAGCAGAACGTTCAACGGGTGGTGCTGCTGTGTACACTCTCGGCATAGCTACAGGTGGTTCTCGGTTGGCTGGGACAGGAACACGCTGCTCACGCGATGGCTCAGCGGCATATGGCGGAGGAGGTTGCGATTCGGCTTCATACCTTGGAAGAAGCTGTTCCCGTTGGGATTCCGGTGCATACCTCGCGGGAGGTTGCTCCCTTTCTGGCTCTGGTTCAGGTCTATAGCGCACGTCCTCAGCATGTTTGTACGTTTGCCTCGGTACAGATTTGGCTTCAACTTCCTGCACCTCCTGTATCTGCTCCTTCTCGTAGGCGTCGGCTAATTCTTCCGGTTTAAATTCCACGCTATTAAAGGACTGCGACTCCGCCTTGGTAGATTGATATGGTCTGGGTGTTGAGGGCAGAGTTTTCGAAGGGACGCTTGTGGTAAAGAACATTTTCAGGAAAGCCCAGATATAAAGCAGGACAAGGTACAACACTTTGGCCACTTGCCCACCTGCATTGAAAAGAAAACGTCCAACTCGTTTCGCATACAGCTTAACCATATCAGCAGCGTATCGGGCGTTATCGCAGACTCGCTGATAGAATCCCTTGTTTTGATATTGGTCTTGGTATCCCGAATATGAAGGGTATGTGTTGGGGTTACGGGTATACATATGAATATGAGGTCCTGAAGTTTTGCCATAGGATGGTTCGCCGGTATTGTAGGAGCGCTCGTTTCTTTTATCATCCTCACAGCAGATCTTCGCCTTTTCCACTTTTGCATGAGTCTCGCACTTCCATTCCGGTAGACCTCTGAAAATGGACAAAGAATTAATTATTGGAAAAAAAAAACTAGCCATAAGTCAACTGCAGGAAATAGTGTTTCCAGCCACGCTTTTGCACACGGCTTTCCTGTACTTTGCAGTTTTGCACCAAAATTTAAAACAAACGAAGATACGACTATAGGCAAGTGCAATAACCGTTAACGCCCACTTAGGGAGTAAAAATGTCAGTGAAGAATTACCAAAAAAGGGCTCGATATTTGAGATCTGACTCGCAAACCCCACATTGTGCATTATTTTATATTTAAACCCATACCTTTTACAAATACTCCACGGTCGTTCACAAG